GTTTGCACTTTCTAGCCGCGACAGCAATCGTCGCTGTCGCCTATTGCAGAACTTTTCAAGTAAACAATTATGTTGCTCAACCAGTTCGACGAAACGAGCTTCCAATGAAGTATTTCAACAGATTGCCGTCTTTCTACGTCACTGTATTCGACTTCTTCTCATTGGGCGGGTGGGTAGAAATACCCAACACTGGTCGTGAACTTGCGTCTGCTCAGGCTCAGGCTGGTCGTTTGGAGTTTACCGTGTTTCCTTCACGTGTCGAGCACCTAAATAGCGACCACTTTCCCAAAAAACTCTTCTCGGAGACACTTCCCCCTTCGGCAGATCGTCCACGTGCCGCCTCGTCTTCTTCTATCAAACACATCGTTTAGTCTACGACTGATTGATAAAATACAAGAAAAATAAACGAAAATTCAAGTTTATTTTCTTAATTAATTGTCTCCAACAAGAGACATTATTGGGCCGCAGTTTTCAAATTGCAGCAGACCTATAAATTTCCATCGTAGTCCGTTAGCCCGTTCGTCCTTTGTTAATCCGTCCTCAAGAAAGGAGTTAGGTAGACGAAAATCAATATCATATATGGAAAGTTTAGGGGCCGGAGGCTCCATCTTTATACAAACTTCCTGTCTGTACCGGAAGTCGCGTGGAATTTTAAATTAAAATATGATTAAAAATTGCAGCCCGGAATTGTGACGATAAATAATTGATCGTTGCTTCAATAATTTACTCTTACTTGTTAGATAATTTTAATCAATGCGTAGAAAGAAGATATTCTACGTCATCTTCGATGCATTTCAATTGTAACTCTTCAATTGCCTTCTCTTTCAAAGTTCCTTTCATTCTTCTCACACGCCGAGCCGTTTTAATCCCAACTTCTTCTTTTCTGGAATTCTTACCTTTTTCAAGCTATTCCCCAATCGATTGTTCATAAAGAAGATATATTCTACGAAACATACGACGCAAAGGACTCCATATATAACTATTGAAAAGTTAAATCCTTTATTCCGACAGCACAATACTTTCATAGTTATATCTACAGACGAACGAATAATTCTAACATCTAAATTCATTCGCTTCTACGCTATTCGAATAACAATAAACGAATTTATTCTTATCGGATTTCGTTCGTTCTTATTAAAATTTTCAGTCGTCTGTAATATTTTATGAGAAAGTCAATTAATTTTTTCATCTAAAATTGATTGCAAATCACTAATTTTAAGTTCATTGTATTGATGGGAGTATTGCAGAAATTTGTATTCTGTAACTATTTACTTTATTTCTTCCATAGAAAAACCTACGGATGTGTTTAATGATGGAAGAAACTTTCTTCTCGCATCCCTTATATCGAATTTTAAGCCACGAATCTAGGTTTTCTCATCCTTTTATTGGACTCGAAATCCTCGTTATGCTCCTCGTTCGACCGATACAACAGATAAAAGAAATCCCCAAACAGGAATAAAGAATAAGAATAGGTGTTAAATTTGTCTACGGATTTCTGCCAACGTTTAAGAGTCGAGTGATTTTTTTACTGTATTTAAATATGAAGTATTTTCCTAATTCACGGTTTTACAATTTTAAAGTATTCGCTAAAGAGACAACTGTAGAAGGATCTTTATTTATCGACTACGAGTCTCACCAGACCATAAAAATACGTTTCGAGTTATATTGTAGTAGCTCTTTGTCACTGCACTACGTGATTTATAAGCAATAAAAATTAAGTTTGTACCACTCCACGAAATTACAGGAGGAATAAAGGCTGTGACCGAGAAGAGAATGGCGAAAGTGATATCCGCCGTTATGAAAACCGCAGCAATTTAATGCAAGGATTTCGCTTCAATTGCATGGCCTACTTTCGTAGATCATCTTCACGATTCGTTTCAAGTAATACGGTTTACATAGTTTATTGTTACAACAGAATTAAATGGAAATTCTCGAGTTATTAATTTTTATTGATTTTTACAAACAACGTGAAGAATTGTTATAAATCATGTAGTTTTTAGCAAACTGGTGAAGAAAGTGTAGTAATTCGAATTGCTATTGAACATCTTGTAAGAACAATAATTGATAAACAAGATTTTCCTACAATTGTCTATTTAACGAAAACTTTCTTTGAAAATGTTCAACTTTGTATTCCAACGAATGATTTTATTTTATTATACTTCGTAAGATTGACTCTACATTGTGTATTTCATAAGTAACAAAGCATTTACCTAAGTACATTATCATACATAAATCTTTTGTTAACTGCTATTATAGATCTTTTGCCATCTAATACTATAGTGAGTACTTCTATCTTCTGGTATGCAAATCAAATGCAAATAGAATAAAATCCGAATTTCTAATCTAAAATATCAAAAGATTGAGGATTTCCTCGCTTCTTTCTCATATTTTATTTTAAAAAACTTTTTATATTTTTAACTATTACAAAATAGCAAAAAGCTTAATTTTGAAGGTACCGATGAGTTTTATAAAAAGTTATAAATGTTGTTGTAATGAGTAAAATCGTTATTAAGTCCGATTCCAATCAAGATAGGATACACGAACCCCTCCCTACTCTCTCTTTACTCCCTCGACCTATAACCACCAAAATTTAAGGTCAAACCATATGATTTAAAGCCAACCCATTTTTTCTATGATCTTTTAAGAATCTTCAGCGAAATTCTCTTAATTATATCGAATTTATTGTGTAATTTTAATTGCAGTTAACTTGTCGGAGTATGAATTCTGACAAATAAACTTGCCTTTAAGAGTTTTAAAAGCATTATACGTCATCGTTAAGATGTTTTAAATTTAAAAAGTTTATGGTAAATTACCTTGGGTCGATTTTGCTCCGTACCACGTGATTGGAATTAATAGCGGTTATTATTTATAGCTAAAGTTTTAAAGAGCGTTAATAATTCCTACACGCTATAAAGTAGGAAGTTTTACGCTTCATAAATTGCTTATTAAACTTTTTATCTATTGCACGAAGCGGGTTAACATATTAGCAATGAATTATCGATGGGATACAGAAATTGTAAGTTCTAGCAGGATTCATAAATCTGCAATAAAAGTAGCCTAAAGCTTCAATTCTTCGAGGTGATCCTTCGTCTCTACAAACTAATTTTGGTTGATTAAGAATCTATTTAACAAATAAACTATAAACAGTAAAAATTCGGGACGAAATTGGTTAAGGTAGTGCACGTTTTCCGATTAATCTAACCCTCGTCATTTAAAATTTCTTATTGTAAAACTGGAGAGAATGCCATGTTGACATCATTGATGGAATATGTAAACGCATCAGTTGGGTGATGTGCCAAGGGGATACCTTTCCGGGTAGATTTTCTATGGAAAACTGATCCCTATTTAGGTGTGAGACATCTGAAGAAAACTCGGAAAATTGCACGTGCCCATTTTAGTCAGGCGCCAAGTGTTTTACGTACTCGGCCATTTGTGGGTACGACATAAAAACGTGCACTATCCCAACCAAACAAACAGAATCTCTTCAGATTCATCATTATCCATTACAGCAGAGGAATCTTTTTCTGTAGCTCTTCATCATCCATGTTTCTATACGAATATCACTTAAAATATACAGTCGACCCCCCATAACACTGTTGATAATTCCGTTTTATATGAATTCCATGTTGTACGAGTCACAGATTTTACAAATACGCGAGTTGTTCACAGCCCGGCACACGTATTTGTAAAATCTAAGTGACTCGTACAACATGGAATTCATATAAAACGGAATTATCAACAGTGTTATGGGGGGTCGACTGTAATTAAAATTTCATATAAAAATAATTATTTAGCATACGCAAACGTTATTTTACAAGAGAGGATATATGATTTATTAACGGACGGGCGTTACGTTGTAAGCAATGTCTATTGTTAGGATTGTCTTTCACTCCATTCTCATTTCAAATATAATTTTTTCATCACTTGATGTAATGACACGATGAATGGGATTACATAAACCGATCATAGAAAGGAAGTAGAGTTGATCATTTTGAAATTTAATAATTTATCTCTAGTTGTTTATTTATATTTATTAAATTTGCATAAACAATCAAATCTCGATATAACGCCCTTCAATATAATGACAGCTGGTAAAGAGACAAAGAACACTTGTGAACGGATATTTCTCGTACTAAATGCACGGTTTTGCATCTCAAACGTCTTCGTCACCAAATCACCTGACATTCAAAAGCTCATCTAGTTTTTATAATTCTGATTGTCCGAGCTGCTTCAGTTTTGCGCCACAAACTATTCGGTTCCAGTTTCAATGGCAATAGCGCTATATCGAGGTTGGCTGTATTCAATGAGATTATGAGATTTTTACAGTATTTTACCGGTTTTAACCCTCTGTAATAGTACGATTTTCCAACCTTATTCGTTCCTTTAATGAATAATTAAATTTCTTGCAGGTACGATATTCATTATCACAATGAATATCGTGAGAACGACCATACAAAACAATGGAAATTTAGCAACAATTTATAATTATTTGTTCGAAAAGCACAAAATAATAAGTCCGATTGAACGTGTAAGTGTATTATTTACTTATTCATTTATGCAAAATTCTCTTTTAATCAAAACATTCTTCCTATTTCCTTCAAGAAAGTAATGTTTTGATGCGAAATAACGTATATTCTAATTTATACAATAAGATATTCGGTTGCGTGATATTGTAGAATAGTTGAACACAGCAGATATCGTAGACACTACTGTATATGCAGTGTTGAACACACTCACGCGACGGTATTGTGACGTTAAAATCATATCGTGATGTTGTGATTTTATGATCAGAATTCATAGACGCTTAGCTTAAAACGTAATTGTGCAATTAATAGTTAATAACTTAGTAAAGTATTATTAGCGAACGAGTTTAATATCTAACGGTTATAGCTACTATATATGAATATTATAATTGTAAATCTAGAAATTAGTTTCCACGGGCAGAACGAGAGGACAATTTATAATAGACGATTGCAGCTATTAAGCAATATTAAACTTACCTGCCTGACGGGTATATCTGTTTCCATCGTAACTCCCATATCCATACCGTCTTGAACGTAGTAACTGTTGTGGGGAGCGTTTATCACCAATATACTTTCCCGATGGCCGGTGGTGGGATGATTTCTAATGACGTAAGCGTTCCAGGACACGTACTTTAAGTGATTCCTCGGCACGTTGTGCAAATCCGTGTAGAACAATTTCAACTTCAAACACTCCGCTTCCATATCCGCTTCCACGCACCAACCCTGCTTATCGCGATCGTAACAATTTGCCGCACCCTCCAGATCTCGAACGGTGGGCAATTTGGCTTCGCTGATGGTATTGGCACAGACCATCTCCACGTATACCTTTAAGGCGTTACGACGGACGATATCTTGAACTTGGCATCGTAACCAGAAGCCGCGAATTCTTCCACTCAGATCGGATATCTGATCCAACAAACCCGAGTCGACTTTCTTCTCCGTCTCTCCCAGTACTATCCTGTACCTGACTCGGCACGGATGTTCGAAGCCGGTTAATCGATTCAACAGTATTCTTGCCCTTCCGGAGGTATCACCATCGTCGTGGCATCCGCGCGGGTGTATCGCAACATTCCATTCGAAATTCCCGAAGACGAAGAAGGCCGTTTCGAATTTCGCCGTCTTGGAATGAGGCGATAGGGCCGAATGCGGTATTTTGATCTCGGTTTCGAACACAGTCATGACGTTTCCTATGGTTAACTCCATGAGAAACTCCATATTTTCGTCCGTGAACTTACGACTTCTTAGATCTCCCATGGGTAACCATTTTCCGGTCCCGTGCGCCGCGTGATCCGTGCTGAATTTGCATTGACGTTCCACGAAAGTCTCGTTCTTGCTGAAATGCTCTCGATTGAGTAACGTGAATGAAAAGTCCACGTAGCATTTGGTACCGGCCGACGGGTTTCTTAGTATTAGAAATACTCCCAAGACCTTGTCCGTCCTCGTGAAAGATACCGCCCATCTGTGGTAACCGTAGACGAAATCTTTGGTGGTGGGGTCGCGATGTATGTCGCGCGTGATCGAACGTGTCACGATGAAGGTGAACACTCCTGTGTTGGCACGATCGTTCAGACGAGTGAAGCGGTACAGCAGTGCCATGGCTTCTTGATCCTGTAAAGAATTTAATTTACATTTTAGTCACTTTTTAATTATTAAATTAAATTGTTGAAGCTTACTTTTTATATAGTTTGCCGTGTCTGTAAGTAGGTGTGTTTGTGTAGGATTATACTTTTCGTAGAAAAGAATTTGTATCAAATTTAAGGACAGTGGAGCAATTGTCTGTTTAGGTCATCTAAATATATAAAATTACTTGTCCTGACTGACTGAGTGATTGATTCATCATCGCCCAGAGTAAATCGCTGAACCTAAAGAGGTGAAAATTGGTAGCCTACACGGTTAGGAACGTCATGAAACGCACACTAAGAAAGGATTTTTGGGAATTCCCTCGCGGGGGGAGAGAGAGAGCATTAAGGCTTAACCTGAAGAACGGCTTCTACTGTACTATTTTAGATGCGATTTTTTGTTTTCAACTACGTTTAGTCTTCTGAACTGTATTAAATTGATAACATTTCAGACATTGTTATAAATGTTCGAACCGTTTTAAATTCGAATTTCTTATTGCATATTGGTTCGATTATAGAACGATTGTAAACGTTCCAGAAAATTGATCAAATTTAAAACAGTTCGTTTGATTCTCAGTGGTAGGTTGTTGAAATTACTATGGTTGTTGAAATACTGAATATAAATGGGGTTTTCTTGCAAAATCCGCGCGGGCGAAGTCACGGATAACAGCTAGTAATATATGTAGATCACAGGTTCTCAAATTTATTTCGACCACTGCCCATTTGAAATAAAAAAGAAAAAAACTACTTTTTAACTTACCTTTTTACATTACCATCTGTTTCATATCTTAAAAACTGTTATTGCAAATATGTTTAAACATGCATTATTATATGGATAGGATAGATAGGGTGTGACCCATATCCTATTTCTGAGATCAAAGAATGTTTCAATGAAAAGAAATAAAACTCATATTTAATCACTTTCTACTGCCCCCCTGAAAGCCTCCAGAGCCCACTTTGAGAAACGATGATGTAGATGCTACCCACGATGCAAAGTTTAATACTGTACTAAAATTATCGTTGAAAGATACAACTGTAATTGCCCACTAGCGCCCGAGTGGGAAAATTGCCGAACACTGATGGCGATGGGTTCGTACCTGGCTAGCAGGATGGCCACGTGTACTTTTCCTGGTTTTTTTTTTTTACGTTTTTAACACCTAAACAGGGGTCATTTTCCAATAGAAAATCCTCCCTCGGTAGATGGCTCACAAGTTGCGTTGCGTGTACAAACAGTAACAACAATTGTAATTAAGTCCCAATACTAGTGATATTTAATTATGGTATTATTGGAGTACAGTTAATGTTGAATATTAACTAAATGTACGGTGCTTAATAGAATGTTTTTGTAAGTTAAAGTTTAAAATATTTAGTTTATACGGTGACTAAGCTGTCGTGTCTGGGAGAATATTGTTTATGTTACTGATGACAGAACGTTCCAGTTAGAAGCTTTTGATTTCACACGAGTTGAAGTTTCACAAAGTAAAACAGAAAACCTTTGTTGTTGTTCGACTCTTCCACTTCGAAATCTCCTTCAGCACAGAGTAAGAATAATAATTTTGTGTTTTTCTTTATATTCTGTGTTGAAGACGATTTGGTTGTTGTCGTTGAATTGAAATGTGGAGTCGTTATTTACTATAAAAAGTTTGTTTTGGAGTGGATTATTGGAAAATTTTTCCAACGAAAATAACCATCATGATTGAAATTTTTATTTAGTATTTCCCCATCCAAACGAACCAATCGAATAAGCAAAATAACTTTACGACAAAATAAACCTTTGATTCTTAAAAATACTATTTTTATTTTGATAACTACCGTTCGTATCTTTAAAAACTCTAGCAACGAGTTGTATAGCTTTCCCGGCAAAAAAGTTAAAATTGTGTGTGACGCCATCGGTTACGAGATTTTATCTAAAACATTTTTATATTATTAATTATTATAAAATAGAAATAAGCTTAATTTCGAGGGTAGAGACGAGTTTTATACAATATTATTAAATTTTAACCAGCAATTATTCATTGTGATGTTGTCACAATGTCGAGCTGCAATTTTTAATCATATTCTTGATTCGTTCAATTTAAATTGTATGCTTTTCAACTCAAGTTTGTAGTGTCTTGCCCTGTACAGTACATCATATTTTTCCTGATAACAACAGAGTCGTATTGGTCATCCATTTAGGAAAACATTTTTGAATTGAGTCACGTGACTTTCGGTATATACCAGAAGTTCAGAGCCTCCTCTCCGTAAGCTTTTGGCATCTAATGTTCACATTTATCCATCTAATACCTTTTTACCTTTCTCCAGATTAAGGGAGGACAGACACACAGAAGACAGTGAGAATTTATAGGTCTACAATTTTTTTCAAATTGCAGCCCACTAACGAGTAAAATCTTTGTTTAGTCCGATCCCTCTTTAGATGTGAATACATGAACCGTTGTATCTCCCTATCCCTCGACCTTTAACCACCAAAATTTAGTAGAATCGATTTCCCTGATACCCAAACCTTCCGGCAAAACTTTAGGAACTTTTGACAAAAGGCACGGGAGTTAAGCTTTGAAATGGGTAAACAGAATAGCACCCTCCACACATGTCTATACATACAAGAAAAACACCCCAAATTTTAAAAAAGTTTTTTATTTCTCCAGATGATTCAATTTTCCGTGTTGAAAAATGTAAAAATCTTGGAGTCATTTTTACATTTTTTAATGTATGATGTATGACAGTATTTCTTATGTATGTCAATACTTTTCTATGTTAATTTATATACAACAGTTGAGAAAGCAAAAATCTGATTAAAAAATGTATGTTTTTCATCTGTAATGTTTATATTACCGGTGACGTGTTTAACGAATGAGAAAGAAACCGGAAGTATGTTGCCACAACTAAGTGATCAATCGCTGATACTCATTGGTTACTACCCAATTGATTGTTGCGATAGACAGACTATAATCCAAATGAATTAGCAGGAAATTTTAGTTTCGAAAATTACGTAGATACATGCCGGGTGGCTCAAAATTGAGTTAACTCTGCTTCGCTTTGTGCGTTCCGGGTAGTGAGGATAACACTAGACAGGAATGTAAATAATATTATTAATAGGCGAAAGATGGGCACCTGTATACCAAAAATGTAAATGTGGCGAATATATAATAAAGTATGTTTTTGTTTTAAATTAGAGGGCGATTAGAAAACAATTAAAAAGACTTTTGGAGGCAATGTCTAAGGACCGGCTTAGAAGAATGGATTGTGTTTCTTTCTCGAGTTTCCATCTGTGATATGATTTTAGTGGAAACGTGATTTAAAAAATGATTAAGTATGAATAAAGTGTGCATTGTATTATCAGCAATGGTTAACTGACTTTCGGAGCGTCTCGTAGGATATAAATATTCTTATATCTAAATTAGAACATTTTGTAAAACATTTGTTAATTTGTAAGTTCTGATGACCTGATGAGGATTTATCAGATTTTTAAAAATTTTGAATTTTTCAAGTGTTTTGTCTGTTTTTAAGACAGTTACTGCAAAATTTGGCAAGATATAACGAAATTACAAGACGATCTTCTGTTAATTTCCATTCAGTATAATGGATAATTCCAGTATAAACATCAAAGATTCTGTTTCTGTATCGTAAAGATATCAAAATATTCTATAATTATTGTATGGTATATGGCATAATTTAATAATATATAATAGTTTAAGTCTCATTATCAATTACGTAGTCACATATCCGATTTTCCCTTTATCACATTCAGGATCTCTTTGTCGACATCAACGAAGACAGGACGGTCCATTTTATCTTAATTATCTTTACTATGAATATAATTGAATAAAATTAGACGATTCTTAAAAGCTGATTAAAGAAGTTAATTATTATTATCCACTGGATTAATTCATTTGTACATTAAAATACGCCATTAATCCTAAAGAATTTCTGGAAGATCCAAACAAAATAATAGAAAAATAAACCACGAAAACGGAAATTTTTCCACCATTTTTGCCGTAAAACTATCCAAACTTCATTGTAATTTATGTTTATTTCGACGAAAGCATCGGTCTTAATAACGATTGTTGCCATTTCCGTTACTTGCAACTGGAATAATAGCTTGTATAGTGTGGCTATTTTGTTGTCGTTGAGTCAAATTCCCGGACGTTTAATTGCGGGGTGACACATTAATATGTATGAAATGGCCGAATCTCCCCTCCATCAATCCAATTGCTTTCTAGAGAATAACTAAATTGTGCCATTAGTCGCCCCGTGGCATTAATTGCCTCGTAAATAGTTTACTCGCTGGATTTTTCTACGGAAATTTTTATATTCTCGATGGTTTCTCGCCTAAAGTCTCTCTCCATCCTATGACACCCCAGTAACATCAGTAGAGTGCTGTTATTGCAAGATACCAAGAGGCATAACCTCTTCCAGTTTATGGATTTATTATTTTAAGTTAAAGAAGGTTGACAGGAAGAAAACAAAGCCCAAATGTTATGGAAAGAGTAAACGATTATGGCTGTCCCACCTGCCGTTTTCATTAGTTTAGGTAATAAGGATCAAGAACATCCGCACTGAAAATACAGAGCTAGAGAGGGGTCAATTCTCTCTCTTTTCAAATGGAAAACGAATTGATTGAAGGGATATTCTCTCTGATGGAAGTATAATTTACTTGGGTTCTTCAGATGCGATTCCGGAGAGATTGCTTTTTATTAAATGCCAACTTATAATAAGTTCTGTTGTAGAATGCTCCGTGATAGAATTTTTAAACGAAATTTTTTTATATGTAAATCTAAATAAACTCCTAAAATATAATTTTTAAATGTTAATCGCTTATCTGGTTTATCGGGCATTTATATATAAGCTAAATAATGGAAAAATTTAACGAAATATTCACTACGTTTTTTCATCACAACTTCACTTTTTCGAAATTAACCTTACAACGATAAGAGGAAGAGGAGGAAGGAGAAAACATTTCTATTAACTTCCGTTTTTTAAAGTTATAACTTT